GTTGCTGGGGCACTACCAGACCTTCAGCTCCAGACAGTCTAGGTCCATCCAGGAACTGGAATGAGACTTGGACGCTTTGAGGTAGGCTGGCAGCTCCCTTGGCGACTCTTCTTTGACGGCAGCCAGGAGGCGACCAGGCCCTTCTTCTGGACTTGGTCGAGGGTATTAAAGACATCCTACCCCCTTTTTTCTCTCTTTTTTTTAACTATGGAGGACATATTGTAATGGAACTTTTTTGAATGAAATACCAATTTTTGCTTTTATGTCTAAGCATTTGGCTCGAGTTTTGTAGTTTGAGTAAATTAATTACATAATGTCGATCCATGTGTAGGAGACTACAATTAGTTTACTTTGAATGTTCTATGCTTTGGCTGAGCAATCTGATCGACAACGTATTTATTTTATGTCGATAGATTGTCATGCTTGCAGGAATCGTACCTTAGTGCGAGTGGTTGCGAGGCCCATTTTGATTAGACAATAATTCGTAGGTTGTGTTTAGATCTTATGTTGACGTCAAGGTCCTCAAATTTCCACTAAGACCGAGAGGCGACTGTGGGAGTCGACCAAATGGTTATGTTTTGAGTTTATTCCTGATAAGGTACCAATGACTTGATTACCGACTGAGAAGCCATTATGCCTTGGGCTTATCCTGAGGAAACGCTAAAGACTTGATATTCAACTGAGAAGTCGTGCCTTGGGCTTATCCTAATAAGGAGCTAAGGTCTTGATCATGATGGTCGATGAGAGCAGGAGGAATCGATCACCAGTTGTGCTTTGGGCTTACCCTGATAAGGAGCCAAGCTCTTTGTTACCGACTGAGAAATCGTTGTGTCTTGGGCTTATCCTGAGGAGGCGTCAAGGGCTTGATATTCGACAAAAAAGTCATTATACCTTAGGCTTATCCTGATAAGGAGCCAATGTTTTGTTTACCGACTGAGAAGTTATACCTTAGGCTTATCCTGAGGAGGCGCTAAGATCTTGACCAGGATAGTCGATGAGAGCAGGAGGAATCGACCACCAGTTATGTCTTGGGCTTACCAGATAAGAAACCAATGTCTTTGTTACCGACTGAGGAGTCGTTGTGTCTTGGGCTTATCCTGAGAAGACGCTAATGTCTTGATATTCGACTGAGAAATCGTTGTGTTTTGGGTTTATCCTGAAGAGGCGCTAAGGTCTTGGTGACCGACTGGAAAGTCATTGTGCCTTGGGCTTACCCTGATAAGGAGCCAAGGTCTTTTAAATCTGACTTGGAAGCCGCATGCCTAGAACCTTTAAGAATTGGCTAGGTCTTTGATGTGTTTTTTTAACTTTAATTAATTATTGAAATTTGTACATCATGGGGCGCAATTTATCAA